TTATTGTAAGAATACAATCTGTAATACATATAGCATACAAAATATGTTAATAGACTGTTTATGTAATCGATAACGTTTCCAGTCACAGAAGGCCATTAGTAGTTAAATTTTGGGGGAGTCAAAAGTTATATGTGGATTTTTGACTTCATGGGGTTGGTGTCCAAACCCCCATATTGTTCAAGGGTCAACTGTAGTTTTTCATGTGCCTCTCTTTGGCCACTAAAGGGTGCACTCCCAGAAAGCAGAGATCCTGGGTTATCCTGCACACGTCTGTCTTTTATGGAGTATGTACTCACTCATTGCTTGCTGAATAAGGACATGTGCCCATTTTCTGGACCCATCACTGTCCTTAGTTACAGTCCATCAGGCTCAGAACACACGCATAGACCATGGGAATCTGAGAGGACAGTAACTTTGTTGGATGTCCGGTGAGGATTGATGCAGAGCAGATTGTTTCAAGGTATTTAATCAAGATTAAATGAGACGAAAATTCAGAGGAAGAGTATAAACCTTTTACTCAGACACCCAAAACCACTGTGTAAACACAGACTGTGGATGATGGGGCTTAACTTCAGTACAGAAGAAAAGACTTGGGGGTTTAATAAATGATGAAATCACTGACTGGAAGGTTGTTGGACTCTGTTAATAAGAGTATGATGTTCAGAGAGAAAGAAGGGAGACAAGGCAAGAAGAAGGGGAGGAGAGGGAGGGAGAAAGAAAATGAGGGAGGGAAGGAAGGAAGGAAGGAGAGAGAAAAGGAGGGGGAGGAGAAGAAGGCAGCAAACTTTTTCCAGTGCCTCCAGCATAATTGGATCTTAGGGATGTTATCCCAGAAGGATAGAAACTTTCTAAACTGAGTACAACTCATTTTCCAAACTTTAAATGACTTCAGGGACTACAATGTTCCAAAAGAACAAGCTGGAATTTAAATCATCTTCTAAGGGTAATGGCCAGTCCTTTGGAGATTGTGCTCCAAGCACATGAGGCAGGTGGAGGGGAGAGGAGCCTTCACCTGCCATGTGTTCTGAGCCCTCACCCTGGTGCTTCAGACCCAGTGTCACTATTTCTGACATGTGGCCTCAGTCCAACCCTTGGAAAACTAATCATTCTTGCTCACCAAGTTTCTGATAAAGGTAAGTGCAAGTTTTGATGAAAGGAATACCAAAGGTTTCATTAGTCCGGCTACATTTTTATCACCAGACTTGATTGTAATGGAATAGGGGCTTCAGGAGTGGAGATAGGAAGCCCTTTCATCGGTATAATATTCTTCTCACAGAATCAGATAGACTCATCAAGCTGCAAGAGTATCTAAGATCATTCAGCTTCACTCTATCATTGTACAGAGGAAAAGAGGGCTTTCCAGGGACCACACAGCTAGGGGTCTTCTCAAACTCAGTTGTCCTTTCTTGGTTAATATTGTTGGGCTTTTTCTCATTTCATAGAGTACAAAGTCCGGCAATTATAGTGTTTTTCTGGAACTGATGATGATGATATACAGGGAATATTTTCTTCATGTGATCCAGGTTCTTGGAGAGTAAAATTGGCTGGCCAACATAGACTGAAAACCCAGCTGGGGACTAATGTACTGCCCAGCACACACACCACAGGCTGCAATGTGTCTTGGACAACTCAGTCATCTTCAAGCTTGGAGACCATTCTCAGTATCAGTCTTTGTAGTCAATTCCTGGATGATACATTTTCCTCTGAAAGCTATATCTATTTTTTAAATCCCTAAGAGAAAGGGAGAGATTTATTTTTATTTATCTTTTTGCTGAAACCATGTTAGTTCTGGATATTTGGAGGGTTGTCTGTGGAAGAAGAATTAACTGCCTTTTGGGGCTCCAGGAGACAGGCCAGGCAGAAATTGCAAGGAGAAAGATTTCAGCTCAGTATCAAAGGGTAACTATTTCAAAATAAAATGAGCCTCACCAGGAGGTAAAGAACCTCACCTCACTCAGCCTAGGCTCCAGGACTATCAGAAAGGCAGTAAGGGGCTTTCTACATTGGAAAAAGACCAGATTGCTAAAGCCTGTCATTCTTAGTATTAGAATAATTGCTATGGCTGTTGATGCTGATGATGTAATTATTTGTTTGCAGGACTATTTCCTCACTAGATTTTTGAACTCTTTAAGGTCAGGGGCTATGCCTTTAATTGCTATGTCCCTAGCATCTAGAATTATGTCCAACCCAGAATTATTATGCCCAATAAATATCTGGTAACTTAAGTTATGGCACTACTTGGTCACAGTTATAATGCACTAAGCAGCAGCATAGGAGTGTCTTAGAACTCACTAGCCAGGGAGTGCCCCTGCAACAACTGAGGAAGGGGCTGGATTACTGAAAGGAAGGGGCTGAATTACCAAGACCTGGATGGTTCATAAGGCTCATTTTAGATACAGTACAAACAAAACTGAATGTCCAACGTCCTCAAAGTTACCTACAAATTTTTAAAATTTTATTATAGAGTTGTGGGGTACAAGTGAGGATTAACTACATTAAGTAGGCTGCATGCAGGTGAAGTTTGGGCTTCTAACTGGCCCCTCACCCCCCAGTAGTGAACCAGGTACACTTTGTGTTATCAGGTACCCTCCAACCTCCTCCCACCCTTCTGCTAATGTGACTAGTGTTCAGGGCCCACTTATGAGTGAGAATATGTGGTATTCAGTTATTTGTTTCTGTGACAGTTCACTTAGTATTATGGTCTCCAATTCCATCCAAGTTGCCGTGAAGTCTATGATTTTGTTTTTCTTTATGGCTGTGTAATACTCCATCGTGGATATGTGCCACACTTTCTTTATCCAGTTCACTTTTGATGGGCAACATGGTTGGCTCCATGTTTTCACTATTGTGAATAGTGCAGCCATAAACATGTGTGTGCAGGTGTCTTTTTGGTAGCACAATTTATGTTCCTCTGGGTGTATTCCCAGGAGCAGGATTGCTGAATCGTATGAAATGTCAATTTTTAGTTCTGGTAGGACTTGCCACAGTGTTTTCCATAGAGGTTGAACTAACGGCATAGAAGCATTCCCTTTTCTCTGCATCAGTGCCAGCACCTGTAGTTTTTTGACTCATTAATGTTAGCCATTCTTATTGAAGTTAGGTAGTATCTCATTGTACTTTTGATTTGCATTTATCTGCTGAATAGTGAGGCTGAACATTTGTGTCTTTTGGCTGCTTGTATGTCTTCTTTTGAGAAGCGTCTGTTCATGTCCTTTGCCCACTTTTTAATGGGGTTTTTGTTTTTTTCCTTTCATTTCATTTAAGTTCCTGGTAGATCCTGGATGTTAGGCCTTTGCCATATGCATAATTTGCAAATCTTTTTTCCATCCTGTGGGTTATCTCTTTACTTTCTTGATGGTTCCTAAAATTTTTTTTACTAGTCTAGAACAAATACTAGTTTGAAGAGCATTTAAAAGTCTGGGGAGTGTCCAAGAAAAAATTATTCACTGGTACTTTTTAAAGCATGGTTAAGCAGACTTTATTCAGGACCATCTCAATAGGTATAGAAACCACCGCCATGGGATTTTACAGTGGAGGAGAGAGATTGGGCTCAATTTCAAATTCAGCATGGGCAAGCAGGGAATTTATAGCCAAGAAGGAGGGTGAGATGGAAAATTCCTAAGAGAAAACATCAGGGATAAGGGCATTCCAACTAAACCAACCTAATAGGATTCTTGCTGAAGACAGGCCAGAGTGATCAGACATCACATGATAGATATTGAGGATGATCAGATATTGAGGATGAGGGGTTCTTGCTAAACCGACTTAGAAGGGTTCTTTGCTAAAACTGAATTTTACACGTAAGTACATAGGAAAAGGTTCAAGAGCCTAACTAAAGTTTGGAAAATAAAAGAATCTTGTCAGAGATGTAACCTTCCCAGTAAAAAAAAAAAAAGAGAGAGAGAGAGAACTAACAGAGCAGGGTCCAGAGCGCTGTGAAGAGTCTCAGGAACAAGTCGGTGCCTCTGGTGCAGGCAATGGGGAATGAAGAGAGGAGAGAAGGCTCTGTCAAAAATGCTCGTTTAACCTGGTCATGGTGCATAAGGGCCCACTTGCTGCCCCAAATGTATAAAAGGATTGGCAGGATGTTAAGACCTTGGCACTTTGTCAAGGTGACCTGGGCTGACTCCCTCAGCAGGTGTCACCAGAGCACCCTCCTCTTGGTGCCAAACTGCCCTGAAGAAAGAGCTGCTTTATTTTCTGTTGCTGCTTTTTTTCTGTCAGTTTTTCTTTATGTTATCTTGTCTCCTTGTGTGCCTTGTTCTTTTGTAATGTGTCCCAGATATTGTGTTTGCAAAATTACTGGTAGAAATGATATAGAGACTGAGGGGATGTTACCTTTCTTCAGAGTGGATTTATGTCTGTTTTTGTTAGGTATTTGGGAGCATCCAAAATCTGGGACCACCTCAATTCAATTTCAGGGCTTGAGAAGATTTGAACCTTAACTACAGCACTTGTAAATGTCTGTTTTCTTCTGATCTGCCTTTATTCCTATGACACTGCCCTTTGAGATCCCATCCCAAAGGAAGAAATTTAGTTAGGGGGCTCTTCAAGGGGCTCTTGTACCTCAAAACTGCTCCTCATCTCCATGAGCCTCTCAGTGTCCCCTTCCAGAAGCTACAAATGTCCTAGCTGAAACACAACCCCAAATACTGGACCTACTTCTCTGAGTTCATATTTCTGCAAGAATCATGACCCTATGATTCCTCATGTTCTTATTACCTCTCCAATGCTTTACACAGATTTTTTTTCAGTTGTCAATTATCATCTGCAAGAGAGGTCATCCAAATTAACTGATTTGTACTCACTGAGAGCAGAAGTTAAATATTAATCTGTGTAAATTGTTCCTAGAACCCCATAGAGATGAACAATAAATTATCAGGACTATTCTCCAGTTGCTTAGCAGAGCAAGAATCTTTGCCTGGCTTTCTAGGCACTTTTGGAATAAGAGAATGCTGGGTTTGACCTTCTGAGTTCCTGCCAGGACAAAGTAGATACATCATGGTCAGATCCAATGAGACCTCCCCTGTGATGGGATTCATTCTCCTGGGCCTCTCTGCCCACCCAAAGCTGGAGAAAACATTCTTCGTGCTCATCCTGCTGATGTACCTGGTGATCCTGCTGGGCAATGGAGTCCTCATCCTGGTGACCCTCTTTGACTCCCACCTGCACACACCCATGTACTTCTTCCTGGGGAACCTCTCCTTCCTGGACATCTGCTACACGACCTCCTCAGTCCCGCTCATCCTTGACAGCTTCCTGACTCTCAGAAAAACCATCTCCTTCTCAGCCTGTGCAGTACAGATGTTTCTCTCCTTTGCCATGGGAGCCACGGAGTGTGTGCTCCTGAGCATGATGGCATTTGATCGCTATGTGGCCATCTGCAATCCTCTTAGGTACCCCATGGTCATGAGCAAGGCTGTGTATGTGCCCATGGCTGCTGGCTCCTGGGCAGCTGGTATCACCAACTCTGTAGTACAGACATCCCTTGCGATGAGGCTGCCCTTCTGTGGGGACAATATCATCAACCACTTCACCTGTGAGATCCTGGCTGTCCTGAAGTTGGCCTGTGCCGACATCTCCATCAATGTGATCAGCATGGTTGTAGCCAACATGATCTTTCTTGCAATTCCAGTTCTCTTTATTTTTGTCTCCTATGTCTTCATCATTGCCACCATCCTGAGGATACCCTCGGCCGAGGGGAGAAAAAAGGCCTTCTCCACCTGCTCTGCCCACCTCACCGTCGTGGTCGTCTTCTACGGGACCATCCTCTTCATGTACGGGAAGCCCAAGTCTAAGGACGCGCTGGGGGCAGAGAAGCAGGACCTTGCAGACAAGCTCATCTCCCTCTTCTATGGGGTGGTGACCCCCATGCTTAACCCCATCATCTACAGCCTGAGGAACAAGGACGTGAAGGCTGCTGTGAGGAATCTGGTGACTAACTGAGTGACTGTTACAGATTCCCAGCTACTGGAATGCATGACCTCCAAACTTATTGTTCTCATGGGGAAATAGTAACCCAGAGAGGTTCCTAGGCTGTCAGTGGAAAGACCCTTTAAATTTAGAAAGCTGATTAATTCATTGGCTTCACACAGATCCATACTATATTATATCATAGCTATATTTTGCTGCCCAAATCTTTAATCTTCTAATACTAGCATTTTATAACTATCCATAGAGTTATAGATATGGCCAAAAGAGACAAACAAAAATTTTTAGTGGTACTGGGATCATGGTGTAGTTTTGTCCCATGTGAAACCGCTGCTTACTCTATTCCATTTTGGTCTCCTTCCAGAGGCCTTTGTTGTTTTTAATGTAGGGGTAAATTGGAAAATGTCATCTGCCCCAACATTTAATAGTAATTATTAACACCACTGCAGGAATTCCTCTCACATCTTTGCATGAGAAATAGTGAGACTGGAGCAACTGCTTTGTTTCAATCTCATGGACACTAAGAATTCGTCATTCGCAAGATTCAACTCTTTATTGTCTCTGCAGGTATGTTCAGAGGCAAATTTGCCACTCTACTGCAGCAGTCACCAAATACTATATGACTGGGTGTCAGGGACTTCCAAACTTTTGTCCATGCAAAAGTACTGACACATGGCAGTTACACACAGCACACATTCCATGAGCATTCCCACGTTGTGCTAAAATCTCAAAAAGACTGTGGGGGACCAAATGCAAAAATAATTATCAATCCCACAACTAATAACAGGCCAGCAGTAACAGTTGTCACTGTCCATCTCTACCTCAGATGATATCTTTCCATGGTCTCCAAGTAAGAAATAGATGCTTTCCTGTAGCATGGATGAGGGGCTGAGGAGAACTTATTCTGTTAGTATGGAGGGTTTAGGGGGAATCTGAGGACTCAAGATTCTCAGGGGTGCCCACCCAAATGTCCTTATCCCAGGACTCAAGGTTTCACTCTTTACCTATCAGGGCCTTAACTTTAGCATTGGAAACCTGTCAAGGCTGAACATCCAGTCTCCTTTTACCTCTGCCATTTTTACAAATAAGTCCTGGACCTGCTTTTCAGCACAATCAGAATTCCCTAAGTATTGGAGATGAGAAAACTGCTATAGATGCCTCCCGGTTTTTGTAGTATGCTTTGAGGTTACAGTTGACTTCCCTGAGCCTTTTCTCTTTCTTTCTTTTCTTTTCTTTTTTTTTAAGTTGGAGTCTCACTTTGTCTCACAGGTTGGAGTGCAGTGGTATGATCCCAGCTCACCACAGACTCATCTTCCTGGGCTCAGGAAATCCTTTCACCTCAGCCTCCCAAGTAGGTGGGACTACAGTGCACACCAGCACACTTGGCTAATTTTTTTTAAAAATTTTGTGAAGACAAGATCTCACTATTTTGTTCAGGCCGGTCTCAAATTCTTGGGTTCAAGCAATCCTCCTGCCTCAGTCTCCCAAAGTGCTGGAATTATAAGCCTGAGCCACTGCATCTGATCTTATGTTTCTTTAAGGCAAACAATATTGTATCATTTTTAATAATACCATTACTCCATATTGTGAAATTCCTAGAGCTACTGAATAACTCAGTGCATCCCCTTTAACCAGTACCTCATTTCTGCCCACCATAGGTAAATGTCTTAAAGAATATGATGTTAGTAGGAAGGGTATGTTTTCCAGGGTTGCTTCTGGTGGCAATTATCTTGGCTGTGTTCCCCATAAAAGCAGTACCTAAGGGAAGACCTTGGGAGTAGGTTGTTTTGGAAGTGATCTCAGGAAGCCAGCATGAATGAGCAGTGTGAGACAAGAAAGGAGGAAAAGTCAGTATAAGGGTACATTATTAAGGTTGAGGGCAATATGGGATTGATTTTGCTGGGAATACGCAGGAGGTATAAAAAAAATGCATCCTCATAACTGTTTACATGAAGAATGAGAGACTAGAGCATTTATCCTGCATCTTCTGTTGGCTGAAGGAAGCCTCTAAAGTTGTATTGGTTTTCTATTGCTGCCACAATTTAGCAACTTAAACCAATGCACCTTCATTAGCTCCCTGCTCTGTAAGTCAGAAATCTAGCACAGCATGGCTGGGTTCTTGTCTCAGGACAGCAAAACACTCAAATCAAGGAGTTTCCTGGACTGAGTTCTCATCTGAGGGTTCTGGAGAAAAATCTACCTCCAAGCTCATTTTTCTCAGCAAAATTGAGTTCCTTGCAGCTATAAAGATTGAGCTCCCATTTCTTTGCTATGTGGCCATCTCCATCTTCCAGCCAGCAAATCTTCCTAGTGCTTTGAATCTCTGACTTTCCCTTCTACTACTAGCTAGAGAAAACTCTACTTTTAAGAGGACTTGTGTAGACTCACTTGCACAATTTCCCTATCTTAAGGCCAACTGTGTTATGTAACATATCCCAATCATGGGAGCATATCCATCATTTTTATGGTCCTAGGGATTTTTCAGGATATGTACACCCCAGGGAGAAAAATATTAAGGGCACTTAGAATCTCACCTACCACAGTTATAACCCCTGTACTTTAGGGTACAATTACAATGGACCAAGTAGTCTTCCGTGGCATTGGAGAAATCTGGAGCAGAGAATAGGACACTGTTAGTTCAAGGTGAGTCTAGCTTGTACAAACTGTCTACACAAACGTGGCTGGAGTCAGAGAAGGAATGAAGATGAAGTACCATAGCATTTGCTAATTGTAAGTGGAACCGTGGAGCTAAGCTAATGCCTCCTAATGACGTAATAGAACCTACTCAACGCACACTCCTTTTTTTAAAAAAAAAAGATGTAGAGTACAATTCAGAATTAAGAGCCGGGCTCGGTGGCTCAGCCTGTAATCCCGCGCCTTGGGAGACTAAGGTGAGTGGATTGCCTGAGCCCGTGGGTTTGAGACCCGCCTGGGCGACTTGGCGAAACCTCATCTCTACAATAAATCAAAAAATTAGCCGGGTGCGCCTGTAGTTTCAGCTATTTGGAAGGCTGAGGTGGAAGGATCGCCGGAGCCCAGCAGGTCGAGGCTGCGGTGGCTGGTAGTGGCCACTGCACTCCAGTCTGGGCGACAGAATGAGACGCCAACTCAAAAACAAGCAAACAAACAAACAATTCAGAATTAGGTATACAAGTGGTCACCATACAAGTAAAGTTTGGGTCTCCCCTCCCTTTGGTCTCCACATTCCTTTCTAAAGGAAACCATCCTGTCTTCATCCCAGCCACACATGAGTAGCCCTGCAGGCCATATTTCACTGGACCAGATAAACTGACCCAAGAGCAGTTAATCCAATAATATGGCAGAGTCGTGTCAAAGAAGGTATTAGACATGAGATGGGTTTGGCCTCTATCAGAGCACAAAGCCACTGCAGACTAGGCTGACTAACTTGCTCTACTTGGTTCTAATGGAGAAAGTCCCATGCCAGACTATACAGTAAAGAGCCCTGCCTTCTAGTTCTGCCTCCAGCATTGTATGCTAGTGCTGTGACATTGGTCAAGCTCTATGTCTTATCTAGGTTTCAGTTGCTTCATCTATTAGGAGTAAATCTCTTTGTCCTTCTAGCAAGATGATATGTTTAGATGCTCTTGAGAAGGGGTCACTACTTACTGTCGAAACAAAAAAGTTTAAGACCTAGTACCCTTCAAAGTATCATTCCCTAACCTGATGTGTTGTACTCAAATATATTAGTTGGAGTGATCATATCATCTCAGGAATTTGAAGCAAGAAATATGGAAAAAGTTGACCACATAGCAAAAGGAGCTGATACTAAGAGATTATCATCTACAGATAACCATATTCATGTGTTAATTAAAGTCATAAGACAGCAGAAACTGTGAGTCAGCAAAAGTTATAACTTAGAAAAAAAATATGAAATGAGAAAAGTTATAAAGAATTCAGTCAAAATAAAGAAGCAGATGTAGAGAACAACTCAAATTAAGGGTGTGGTACTAAAGAAAATATCTCATGGACATTTGTGAAAATGAATCCTCTTCACAATGCATTTGTGATTTTTAAAAGGCATATAATAAATTATATATTAATGACAACATTTCATACTGATCTCCCATTATGTTAGTGTATTATTAGTCAAGTGACTCTAATTTACTTATCTGGTCTATGGTGGTCTGATTTTAAAAGATACTAACGCAAGATGAGTTACTGGGGGGAAATATTTGGTGTTTGGTATATATTTTCTGCTGCTATCAACTCACCAGCAGAAACAATAAAAAGGCAATTTCTCCTCTTTCCTTTTCAATGATTTTTCTGCTTGAACAGCCTGGATTTTATTCTCTTGGTTTCTCTTGACCCTTGAGGAAAGTAAATGTAATTTTTTTGTTTTGTGGCCAAATTTGAGGCTAGTTTGAATTCACCCAAGTCTGAATCTGAAATAGAGGAGTTGAGAGGAGGGAGGTAACTAGTAATTCAAGATGATAAAGCAAGGCTTGGATTTTCAAAGAATGAAGAGTATTTCACTTTAAATGTGGAGACCTGCCCCTGTTGGAATGTAGTGCCCTGTGGGTGGCAACACATTAGATGGAAACTTCATTATAGATTCTGAGGTTATCATACTTGATGAAGGTTTATGTGACTAGACTTGGTCCAGATAGAGTAGATAACTCCAAAGAAGATGCCAGTCCTTCTGTTGCCAGGTGGACTTCATAACAAGCATCTTGTCAGTGTGACGGTCTGAATACAAGAGATGATGCCGAAATTTCCTGAAAAGTGTTTATTATTATTTGTGTATTATTCCAAGGGAAGTTGTAGTGACTTCTACTTAGCCTTTTCCTGTCATGACAGCCCTTACTCCAGAGGTCAAGAAACAAATGTGAGAATTCTACTAACTACTGTGTATGTCTGTTCCAATTATGCATTTGAAAACCTGGGGAATGACCGCCAGTGGGTGGTCTCATAAAGATCCATGTATCCTACCATGAGACAAATTTGGGCCCATTGGAATTGAGTGACTGATCACAATTTTTCAACAAGAAAGCTGT